GAGTGACTGCAATCATGTTGTGGTCCATCGCGGCTAGCTCATCACTGGAGTGAAGCAAGCTTCAGATGTTACATTTTTCGCCCCTCGAGTGAACAGCTAAGAGCTTTTTCTAATATAGATTCCAATGGGTGGATATACTTTTCAACGAGTAATTTTTATGGTTTATGTTTCTTAAGAAGCGCTAAAGTATTCAATAAGTGAGGAGAAACACTTGACTGCTTGTTTCCCCTTACATTTCTCTCGTGCTCTGGCCGCCTCTTGGATTAAAGCTGAATGCATTAAAACAGAACAGAGCACATTCAAGGTTTCTTTAGTTGTTAGTAAGACTCACCCTTGCCGCAGAGCATACTCCAGTTTATCTGTAGAATCATTCATTCATTCACGTATTTCTGCACTGTTTATAACACTTTGACAAATGGCTTAATGATTTAGGAATTTGATGGCAATGCAGACCAGGACACTGTTGTGTATCATGGCTTACACTCACCAATCACGGCACGTTTCATCCGTATTCTACCGATGGCCTGGTCGGTTGATGTAGCTTTGCGGGTAGAGCTTTATGGCTGCATAGGTACTGTGTGTTTATCCGATTTGATTTTATTAACAATTTACATTTGAAAATTTTTTTATTGCTTTCCAGACAATATAAAAGTCTCATCTTGGTTTAAGAGTCCTATGACCTCAATTCACACAACTTATACAATTTAAGCTCGTCATTTCCCTTCTAGAGAAGCCTGTTTAACAGAATACTCGATAAAGACGTTTTAAGAGCTCTCAAGGGCAATATAAACAGTTGCTACACCAAAACAGGACTGATACATTTATTTTAGGCATGTTAACACGCCAACATAAGGTCGGCGGTGGCCATGACCTAGGTTTAGGATAAACGAAGTGTTGATAGTGGAAGAAGAGGACTTTCCTCAGCGCCATAAAAAGTGTCTTACTAGGAGACGCATAGCTTTAACCTTAAATTATATCTTTATGTGAGTCAATCCACTATTAGTTTGTGTACTAAATGGACGGATTAAGATCTATCCATGGGTATGCTAATCTTTCATTATTTTTCTTCTGATTGCAGCCGTGAGTATACCGGATGCAAGAGCTTGTTATCCTTTAAACAGGTTTTTTGAAACAGGAGAGATGAACAATAAACAACCCCCAGGTTTTCCTGGAGAAGTATCTTTAACGACTGGTCCAAATGCTGACGAAGGTGGCTCTTATCAATTTCATGGGAATGCCAACAGCTACATTGAGTTTCCAAATGTTCAGGGAGGATTAGACATCTCGAACTCCATTACATGGTTATTTTGGCTGTACCTTGACAATGCAGTAAACGCGCCAGTACTTCAATATGGTGGAAAACTTCCAGTTTGGGGTGCTCATATCTGGACAAAACCGGATGGATGGTTCGCTAACTTCCACCAAAGAGATTACACGCCCACAAAGTCGGTGATAATCAATCAGCCCCTGGAAATAAACCAATGGCATCATGTTGGTGCCTCTTATGACAGTAAGACTGGAACGACCAGTTTATGGCTGAATGGAGAAAGAGTCGCCCAACAGAATATCGGGGTTATCACTATTGCTACTCAGGATAACGTCAGTGTGGGTGTAATGGAGGGGCATACCACATTTCTTACTGGGAGAATCACCGCAATACAGTTTTATGACGGTGCACTGACAGCCGAGCAAATAGACAGAGTAAAAAAATTCGGCTTAGGTGAGCATTGAAAATAGTTAACGCTGCATCTTTGGAAATATAGAAAGTAGAAACGTGTTCTCAGACTCAACAGAGCCATCTAAATAGCTGATAACAGGCTAATAAAGTTTGGACTTCTTTAGCTTGGCAATCTTTGTGTGCGAAACAGTCTTGCTGGATCCCTATCCTGAATTAATTAATGATTAAACTTAAAATCAAGTAGGGCAGACTTAAAATCGGGTCATTAATTTTGAGCCCGGTTTGCTTTCCATGACGAATTTCTTCCAGAGATACTAAGTGGAAATAGCTAGAGGTGAAGCAAATTTTCGAAATACCACAAATTATCGTTAGTGAAACGCTTTCATCAAATCCGGCAAGATTTCCAACGTCATTGTTTTTGATCCACTGTCTTGGCCGATACTCCCATTCATATTTTGTTTTCACAGCTATAAAGATAGTTTTATTTTAGGCCATAAGTACAAGCATACGTGGTGACGATGATGATAATGATGATGATAATGATGATGACGTTGATTATACTCAAGAAATGGATATTCATTTTCCCATTTCTATTTATTCTCAGATGAAGATGAATGTCAGGATCAGAAACACAACTGTGACGTGAATGCTCTGTGTAACAACACTTTTGGCTCATATAACTGCACTTGTGTATATGGGTACTCAGGAGATGGTGTGAGCTGTCTGGGTACGTACTACTCTTTGAAATGTATATTATCACGTGAATATAAAACTACACGACCTTGAGTCTCATATTTTAGGTCATCTAGTGGATTGTCCATATGATGCAAAACAAGGAAGAAGTTATTTGAAACACTCGGCGATCTAAGGTTACTTAGATAAATTTTTACGTTCCCTTTTCTACATTTCACCAATCACTACAACAAACAGCACCGGGGGAAACTCACTAGTTTGAATTACGATCATTACTAGAGAAGTCTGTTTTAGCCGAAATATTTTTGTCATAGGGCAGGTACATTTAATCTTGATAACCAATGGCGTCTTTAACATTAAAAAAAATATTTTTTTCACTCTCAGTTCTTTTCTTCTTTCGTTCAGATATCGACGAATGTACCACAAATGTGCACAACTGTGACCAATTGGCTGTTTGTAACAACACTGTTGGATCTTTTTACTGTACATGCATTGCAGGGTATGAAGGAAATGGCACAACTTGTGTAGGTGAGAGATGTTTCCATGTTCAGGTACCATAATCAGGCGTTGCCTCTCATTTATTATGGCCATACATTGCTAGGTTTAAGGAAGCAATTTTTCTTTAGTTTAAAGCAACTGATGAAGAGGTTTATTGGTGAACCTCAAACAATTAAACTCCGCGAAATTCACGCTCGTTTCTATGATTCTATAGATATCGACGAATGTGCAATATCAGCTCATAACTGTCATGGAGTTGCTCACTGTTTTAACAATCCAGGATCCTTCAGCTGTGAGTGCCGAAAAAACTACATTGGTGATGGGGTATCATGTGAGCCCGTTGGTAAGATACATGTTGAATTACAGTGAAATAATATTTAGCCGAAAATTCGTTATTATCATCAGTTTATTATCTTTTAAACCCTGGACAAGAAACATTAAGTAAAATGCACGATTTTATCTAGACCTTGAAAAAAGATTGCTGAAATGGTAGCCATGGTGTTATTTTAAAATATTGAAGTTGATGTAAAACATAGGTAAATTAATCAAGAATTAAACCGATGTTACAAAGGTTTCTTTTCTTTGGTGGTGAAAAATGATGCGAAAAACTCTGTTAACTATATCATCCTCAGGAGATTTCTCAGTGACCATTAAAAACATTTCAAAAGACAAGTATCATGCCACACCTGTGCAGCGTTCAGTCAAAAGTGTCCAAGAAGCCCTGATACAGGGTCTAAACAAAGATTTAACCGTATTGACAAGTACCTTTGAATGGAGTGTGGTTAGCGAAATGGAGCTAGCTTCCTCAGAGTCAGCATCAGGAACTAAAGTTAGTCAAGGAACGACAGAGTGGACGATAAACAAACGATCCATACCTGCTGGTATCTATCAAGTCAAATTCAATGCTACGCTTGCAGTCGGAGATCCAGGATCCCCAAAAATTCTCAACGCCTTTGATTATGGCTTTATTGAGGTTATTTCAGCCCCCGTGCGAGCCATTCTTGATGGGGGAAGCAGTGTACGGTGGGGGTCCAAGCAAAACGTCACCGTGAATGGCTCTTTAAGTTACGACGCAGATATTGGCCCTGGAATACATACCGGGCTCAATTTCAGTTGGTCCTGTCGGAGTGACACTTCTGTAAGCAACACTTGTTTCGGTTCTTTTCAAAACAAAGGAGACTTAAACTATAGAAGCATTTCTATTGATACAAGTAAACTTGAGATCAATAGGGCCTTCTTCCTACGGCTGACAGTGTCCAAGGATGTGAGAAGTTCCTATGCCGAAATGTCCTTTGAAATAGCTGAAGGAGAGGTACCACAGGTGACCCTCAGGTGATTGCTATGTACCGTTGACTGGTAATTAGAGAAAATGTAATACTCAAGGAATCGGGAAAGGAAAGCTCTCAGAAATATGTACATTTTAAAAAAAAAGTTTGCTTTTACTTATCGAAACAAAGCTTCCCAGAAGTAAACGTTCTTTTAACTGGAAAGGGAGACCCTAAGAAAGTTATGCAGCGTTTCTATGAAAGAGTAAAGATGACAATCCTGCTAAAAAAGTAGAGAAGTAAAAGAAAAGTGCTTTTAACGTTTAAATGATTATTTCACTCTGTAGTCTCGCCTAACCTATATCTAGCTGTACGTAGAACTCAAAAAGGCTAATCGTGCTTTGATAAAACTACCCCGAAACTATTACGGACTTGCTCTATTAAAGACGAGCAGGTGGTGGTTTGAAAGGATAATTCGCCAATTTACGAAAGCTGTGTTTTCACTTTTGAAATTGAGGGAGTTCTGTTAATTAAGTCCCATTTACTAGTGATTTTACAGCTTTTCGTATGTTGCTATTCCTTTTTTCGTTTCTTTTCCCCAGATGCTTTGTAGATTGTGGTGCGATAGTGTCTGCTTCAAACAAGCTTCGGGTGACATCAGAGTGTCTTAATTCTCCTTGCAATGGATCTATTTACGAATGGCGTCTGTCCATCCTTAACGGTTCAGACAGTTGGGAAAATATACCTATTTTACCCAACATGACTTCAACTGCTGTAAATTCTACCAATATGATAATCAAGAAAAATTCATTACAATCCAAATCGAAGTATAATCTAACATTATTAGTAACATCTTTGAAAGGAGCATACGGGCTTTCTGTGCTCCTCTTTGAAACCGCTGGAGAGCCGCATAATGGTTACTGCGCGCCATCGGTTTCTGAAGGCGTCTCACTGGAAACTGAGTTTACTTTTAAGTGCTTCGATTGGCAGGATACGAGCCTACCACTGACATATGAATTTGCACTTGGAGAGGAGCCTATATCTTATGGCACGTCACCCTCGTCTGTCTCGACAGTGTTACCTGCGGGATCGCCGAACGAAGATTTCCACCAACAAGTCACTATTGTTATTAAGAATGCGGTTGGAGTATCTGTTGTAGAGAAATTACTCATCAAGGTACTGCAATTGATTAAGGGGAAGTTTTTGAATAAAATAACTATTTACGCGATTCATAAAAACGTCACTTGAAATCTTTGCATTTTCCAATTCGATTTATTAACGCTGTTTACAAACTCTTTCAAAACGGTAAATTTTTTCTGTGGGCTCGCTAACCTTTTTTCATCCAGTTCTATCTCATCGGCACTTGGATCCAGTAATGGCTAAAAGTTCAACTCAAACGCCAAAAAGATATTCCAGTTACGAAAATATTACGATATATCTCACTTATCCCTTGCAGGTAAGGCCATCATCTGGCCTTGATCCATGTGCTTCATCACCAGACGAAGTTGCAATCAAGTTAAAAGGTTTTGTAGTCGGGGAAGGTAACAAGCTAGATGAATATCTCAACAAGGGTGAACTCAGCCAAGCTGTTCAACTTGGTATATCCGTTTTCAAGTCTGCAAATGAAAAAACTGAATGTGGCCAAGAATTGGACCCTAACGACATAGCTTTGGTAAGTTAATGAAATTGCTCAAATACAGTCGGCAACAACACTTAAACTTTCGGAATTAAGTTTTATGTTTTCTCTTAGAACACGTAGCCATTCCGATTTTCGTTCATTTATTTCCTAAGGCACACTTAAAATATGTGCAATTATTCGTTTTATGATAAAGTTCGAACATAACGCGCGCTGTCATTGGCTGAGAGAGCGTGCTCTATCAGAGTACAAAGTACAGAGCTCTGCTTAGGCTGACACGCCGTCACACTATCTGCCAAATTGTCTATGTCCGACCATTTCTCGGACTTTTGTCTAGCTATTTTTTTTTTCGTGAATTGAAGGTGAAATTTCGGAGCAAGCGAGCCGGCGAGTAATAATAGGAGATAAAAACAAAGGTTTGTAAAAATGTCAAGCGCCGTAATTTACGTTATTATGACAAGCAGAGAAGAAAATTCTCAAAGAGAAAACGAATGGGATAGTCCGAGTATTTAAGAGGCTGTCTCTCTTATTTCCACCCGGTCAATTTTGCGTCAAAAATAATTTTGCCTGAAACTCTGTTAACAGAAAGACTTCACCTAGGAAAGAACTGAATTAGATTTGGTTTGATTCGAAATAATTTTCTGACTGCATTAGGGGCCATAATTATTTCCCAGTCCGTAGGGACCGTACCAACGTCTCGAAAATTGAAAAATAGGCATATTTTGTAACATTGTAAAATATTTGATTCGCATAGTTAAGCCACAGAATTTATATCAGATTGCTTAAAAACCTTTCTAGTTTGCCAAGAAAGTTAGAATTTGCCCTCTCAACATATTTGAAAAGGCGAATTTTAGCATATTCTGGCCACTAGAAATCGCCATCGGCCGATGGCCGTAAATAACCTTGATTTAGACGCTAAGTTTTGGGATTTGGGACCTGGTTGACGATTCTATCCTACACAACCGTTAATTTTAGACCTTTATAGGTAAACATATGCAAAAACCCCTGTACGTTTTCGATTTTTCAAAAGTTATGACCGTTTGAATCAGCAGATGTACGAGCATTCGCGATTTTTTCGCCTACACCAAAATCGAACCACTGGAGCAGATTTTGTCATAAATACAGCTTACCCGCTTTGCAGCCCGGCTTCATGGCTCACTTTAGAATTTTTCTAATAACCAAATTGGTGAAATCCATGATAACTTCAACAAATAGCTAGGTATTGCCTTCGAAAAGTAGGCGGCATCCATCGTCATTCGTGGTATCAAAACAAATGTCGGAATAGGCCACATTTCGCGGTGAATCACCCATTTAACATCGCTGCAGAGCTGAATTTTTTCCAAAATCAGAATATAAACTCTCCATGTCTGGAAGCTGAGGGAGAAATGAAGGTTTTAGGCTTCTGAAGTGAAGAAATAATCGCTTAAGTTTAGATCCAGTTCGATGTTCTACTGTTCTCAGAAAGGTCCGCACAAAAGAGAAGACCGCTGATAGCTTGTGCCGTACGTTGTGCCATATGGTTTTGTTTTGTATCCCAATGTAATATTTGGGCAGAAAAATTTTGGATGAAAAGAATAAATGCTTTTACCTGGAGTTTGATATCATATAATTAATAAATCAATTTCAAATATCCTGAGCTTGCTTCTCTCGGTTCCGCGTCGATTGTGTCCACAGAACAGCAACCTGTCAATAGTCGGAGATATCATGGGTTTATGTGAAATTTCAGATATTCCTTGCTTCCCAAAGTGGTGAACTGGACTTTATGATAACTCCAGCAAATACCTCCAAAATTCAGCGGTCGGCATCTGTTGATACTCTTCTTTGACTCGTTGTTGCGAACTAAACTCGAAAACTAAAGCCATGTTTCGCGCCCAATGTCCCGTTGAAACTTTGGATTGCAGCTGCATTCTCTTCAGGAATCAGTCATAGAACTCCACTTGTAAGTCTATGTGTCGAAGTTTGGCGTTTTGGAATTTAAAGCTGAACGAATGCACTATCGCGCATAACAGAGGTCCGCATTAATCATTGCGGGTGAACCCGCTGACCCTTTATTTTTTTTTGGAAGGCCTGCAAGTGTAGTATGGCATGCAAGTGCTTTTTCGAAACCAGAGAGGCTTCAGTCTGTAGCGAGTCTTCAGCGAAGTTGTTAAAGCTTTCATTGGACAGAGGATACGCATTGACGAAACACCCAGTGAAGGGAACAACAGCTGCAGTAAGCATAGTAGACGAATCAAAGAACACTCTCCGTATAAATAAGAGTGAGCATTTTAGTAGCTTCCACAACTTCGAATATGGAGATATCGGTCTGAGAGTTTGGAAATGTTATGGCATCGGCAAAGGGAAGTACATTCCATATGACGTAATTTATATCAAGAACCCAAGGTCAAACGTCCCTTCAAACCATAGAATCTCAAGGTTTTTATGATCCTCCTGAAAAGCGTGTGGTCAAGCGTCGTTCAAAGGGCAGCAAGGAAACAGAGTACAACGCCATTGTTTGAATGCTCTGTGTTTGGATGTGTTGAAGTGTTCGAAATCTTTTCGCAGCTGGAGCTGCACCTGGACGTTGGAAAGCATACAGTCAGCAGGTTAAGCCAGTATGATGCAATCAAAAGGGACTGGGCCCTTAAGTTCTCGTCGATAGATACCGCTGGTATCGAGTGTTCGAGCTGTTCGTTAGATTTTAGTACACCACTCACTTCTCCCGTGGATCATTCGCCCCACTCATTTCTACGAACGAGATGGGCCGTAAGCAAACCAAGGGGCAGCGTTAGATTTTCAGAGAAGGTAAAAGAATACCTAACGGCACGGTTTATATTTGGAGAAAGAACTGGGCGAAAGGCAGACCCCGCCCAAGTTGCAGTGAACATGCGAAATGCGAAAAATGAATCAAATGCACGTTTGTTCACTAGAGAACAGTGGCTGACAAAGAGCCAAGTTCAGAGCTTTTTCTCCCGGCTAGTAACAATGCAGCGAAAAGATCAGGGTGTGATCGGGATATCACTGGATGAGGATGAAGATATCCAATGCGTCCAGGAAAATTTCGAGAGACAAGATCTGGTAGACAAAGTTAACAAAGAGATCAAAGTCTCACATCCTATCTGCTACGATACGTAGGACCTCTGTTAACGTTACCACAATAACACACTTCAGAAATTCAATGTGGTTTTGTTGAGAGCCATCTGTAGTCATTTTGAGATCCCTGTAAAATTGAGAGACAAAAAACAGATCCTCATAGACAAACTGTCGGACGTGATTAGTGATTGTCAGTGTGTTTCTCAGTAGACTTATGTAAACAACGTCTTATACGGTGGCTGAAAGTGTAGAATATGCTCTACAGATACAAACTACCTTTACTTCCGATATCAAGTTCTGACGGCGTTGTCATAGTGTAATATATTATAATATCTAGTAGTCAGTGAAATGTTTTGATGAAATCGATTGAAAATTTACCAAAAGCAACACTTATAACATCTGTTCATACGAAGCATGTGTCAAGTTTTTATCACGTTGGTAACCGATTTCTCCGGCTATTGACAGGTTGCGGTTCTGTGGACACAATCGACGCGGAACCGAGAGAAGCAAGCTCAGGATATTTGAAATTGATTTATTAATTATATGATATCAAACTCCAGGTAAAAGCATTTATTCTTTTCATCCAAAATTTTTCTGCCCAAATATTACATTGGGATACAAAACAAAACCATATGGCACAACGTACGGCACAAGCTATCAGCGGTCTTCTCTTTTGTGCGGACCTTTCTGAGAACAGTAGAACATCGAACTGGATCTAAACTTAAGCGATTATTTCTTCACTTCAGAAGCCTAAAACCTTCATTTCTCCCTCAGCTTCCAGACATGGAGAGTTTATATTCTGATTTTGGAAAAAATTCAGCTCTGCAGCGATGTTAAATGGGTGATTCACCGCGAAATGTGGCCTATTCCGACATTTGTTTTGATACCACGAATGACGATGGATGCCGCCTACTTTTCGAAGGCAATACCTAGCTATTTGTTGAAGTTATCATGGATTTCACCAATTTGGTTATTAGAAAAATTCTGAAGTGAGCCATGAAGCCGGGCTGCAAAGCGGGTAAGCTGTATTTATGACAAAATCTGCTCCAGTGGTTCGATTTTGGTGTAGGCGAAAAAATCGCGAATGCTCGTACATCTGCTGATTCAAACGGTCATAACTTTTAAAGAATCAAAAACGTACAGGGGTTTTTGTATAGTTTTGCCTATAAAGGTCTAAAATTAACGGCTGTGTAGGATAGAATCGTCAACCAGGTCCCAAATCCCAAAACTTAGCGTCTAAATCAAGGTTATTTACGGCCATCGGTCAATGGCGATTTCTAGTGGTCAGAATATGCTAAAATTCGCCTTTTCAAATATGTTGAGAGGGCAAATTCTAACTTTCTTGGCAAACTAGAAAGGTTTTTAAGCAATCTGATATAAATTCTGTGGCTTAACTATGCGAATCAAATATTTTACAATGTTACAAAATATGCCTATTTCTCAATTTTTGAGACGTTGGTACGGTCCCTACGGACTGGGAAATAATTATGGCCCCTAATGCAGTCAGAAAATTATTTCGAATCAAACCAAATCTAATTTAGTTCTTTCCTAGGTAAAGTCTTTCTATTAAGAGAGTTTCAGGCAAAATTATTTTTGACGCAAAATTGACCGGGTGGAAATAAGGGAGACAGCCTCTTAAGTTTTTCATGCTCAATTAGATTGTAAGCTTACGGACGATAATAAAAACCAAACACGTCAACACTCTCATAGTATAGAAAGTTTCCTGTTAAAAACAAAACAGAACAAAACAAGAATGATGAAAAATATAGCCTTACTGTCATAACGGTTAAAAGTCATACTGAGCATAACGGTGTCTGAGTGACTGCGACCATGCTGAGGTCTATCGCGGGTAGCTCATAGCGGCGATCTCCGGTCATCGCAATGAAGCAAACCTCAAAAATTACGTCAGCCGCCCTTCGAGTGAATAATTAAGAGCTTGCCATGATATCCAGTTCCGATCCGTTGAGAAGATGCGTTAAGTGGAAGGCCACATCAATCACAACAGCCGAGTTTTACGGCGCTGTCATCCAGTGGAATCCTCATGTTCCAGTGAATTCAGCTGTCGTTGAATCGTAAAACACACCTTTGAGCTTGCCTTGAGTAGTTTGTTTTCTACTTGACATGTCAAAAACATTGCGTGTTTTTATGAGCAACAGTTCGGCCGGATTTCACTGAACATTTAACTTTCAGTTTCTGTACTAGTGTTACGAAAAATTGTCTAAGTTAAGTCTTAGAACATTCTATAGAACAGTATAGAACTCGAAGTCATCTGGACGTGACCTTCTGGTAAAAAGAACATTCTGGAACGTTCTATTTCTTACGTAGTTATTCAAATTTAGAAACCGTGTTAATCTACTAAATTTAGTTCTTTAGAGAAGTTTCTAGATCCTTGTACTTTATGTATATAAGAGCGACAGTTTCATCAACACTGAGAGAAAATTGTGAAGATGCTTAGTGCTGTAAAGACGAGAAGTCAGCTACGTGGGAATAAACCAGTTTGTTGCTGTTACCGACGATCCTGAGTTTTGTCTAGGAACAACCCTGCTCTACATCGACACTCGTAACAACTAGAGACTAAAAAACTTCAAGCAAAAGTGTTAAATTCGACCTACCGATCTATTTAAGGTTGTAAACTATTTCATATTGTGAACTTTGACGGTTTAATATTTTTGACAGCTTTTGTCTCTTTTAAACATCATTTGAACCATCCTAACACGGATTCTGATTGCTTATAGTAGCGTGCTTTATAGGAGTATACAGTATGCTGACGACTCTCTTTTCGCTCTGGAAATGAAGTTTGCTTTTAAAATTGAAAGAGATGCGTGGGGAGTTTGAACGGATTTTTCATCATGAAAAAATAGAAAAGACTTCACGGTGGTCTGTTCTGTTCTAAAGCAGTTAGGATGTGGCCAGACCACTCAAGAAGTGGAGAGAAACACTCAATTAAAACTCATATTTCTTCCTACACCTCTTTCGTGCTCTAGCCGCTTTCTGCGAGCTTTACAACAGAACAGAGCACAGTCAAAGCCTTTTCGATTTGTTAATGATGCGCGCCATTTCTTTTTGTTGCTAGATTTCCAACACATTGATATCGAAGTTTACAGCTATAACACCAGAGAATCTTGAAATGTCTCGCTTGGTTATGTCTGTAGTAGGCTTGGCCATGGGAGTGGAGGCAGACGGTGGCGGTAATAGCAACAACAACAATATGGTATGCCACTTTTTTTTTCTTTAAATCCTTTTATCAACATAAATTCAACTTTAAACCCAAAGATGAGAACCATTAGTGACAGATTGTCTCTAGAACACGATGCATCTGATCGAAAATATATGAAATATTTTTATCTGTAACGGATTTAAGCAACAAGCTTATCCTCCCGGGCGAATCGTAAGAAATGAAATCTCTATTATTTTTCAGTAACTCATAATTGGTATTTTGAAAACATACATGCATTTGAATTTTGCGAATGTTCTAAATTATCTAATCCACCAATCTTTCTGTACAATTTTAATTCCAGTGAGGCATATGACGCATTGGTGTTATTCTCCCTAGGAATTAACGATGCAATTGACTGATAGTACAGCTAATATGATGATTTCCACCCTTAATGATCCGGAGGAGCCTTTCACACCGGAGTTAGAACAAACAGCTACAAGTGTTACAGGCTGCCTCACAAATGTTCTTAAGTCTGCTGCAGGCTCAAGTCAGGACGACACAGACTCGGCAGTAACCCCACCCTCTCCAGAGGTAAAGATCACAACTACAGTTACAAGTACGACTACCACGGAGATCAGTCCTTTCTGCATACATTCCCTTATTGGAATTTCGTTTTCGCCATCAATTCAGGATAAATTAATTCTAGGCAATAGGGTTTACATTAACCGTACAAAACGGCGAGACCAATGAAGGCAGCGAAGAAGAATTGTGAACTAAGATTTATGAGGTCTAATAAAGTGGAAAAGTCATCGGATTAACTACGTCATCAGGTGACCGAACATCATTCTTTGACTTTCCTTTCAGTTCGTGAAGAAGGCCTCCGAAAAACTGAGCAACATGAGTGATGCATTTTTTGGCCGCTTGGTTCCATCAGAAGATCTGGTCCTAAAAACTCCAAACTTGGCAATTTCGCTGAAAAAGGTCACAGCTAATGATGCAAAAGGACTCAGCATGGGAGATGGACCAAGTAAATTCAAGCTCCCGAGCAGCCTTGGAAATATAGGTGGTGGAGAGATAAATGCAAAGGTATAATGCCATTCTTATCCGAATTCACTTGAGAATGATTCGAGTCATCGCTGCCTTAATTTGTAATTACACTTTCTTGTCTCCACGTCTACTTAATTAATATGATAAAATGACAAAATCTGTTTACACCAATTTTATGTATGCGAGCAAATCTTCTGGAGTTAACCTTCTTCAGTAAAATTACTAACACCAAATCGTGTTCTCTTTCAGATGCAAGCTGTTGATTTTAACCCTTTCACTTGGGACAATAGCAGCAAGAAAATCAAATCACGCGTCACGAGTCTTGAGCTTAAAAGCAATAGCGCGGAAAAGATAAATGTTTCAAACCTTGACAATGACATTGAGATCTTGATTCCCATTTCAAGTCCACCTCAAAACTCCACCAACGGGACACAACATAACTTTCTTAAGCCAAATGAAATCTCAGTTCGAAGTTATTACGCAGAACTAGCCAATGTTCCTGTATCTCTTAAGTTGGGTATAGCCAAAGCAGGATTACAAATCAGTCTGTTCATAAAATTTGGAAAAAGACCGACGATAAATGACTTTGACCACAATTTTACAATAGCGTTTACATCAACATGTAACAACCAAACAGATGCTAATGCAACTTGCTCTATCAGAGATAGCTCGGTTACAGTGATCCCTTTTAAGCCAGGCTTCCTCTACGCGGGCTTATTGTTTAAAAGCCCTAAGAATGAAAGTCAACATTCCAGGCAGAGGAGATCCTGTTTTGGAAATCGTCGCGAAAGACGGTCGTGTGTGGGCGTTAAAGATCCACCACCAAAAGGATTTCTTAGCTCTGTGATTCCGAAATATGATCCAGACACAGACGCTAACTACACTTTGACCATCACTCAGTCGAGTTGTTTATATTGGTCAGAGAACACAGAAAAGTGGACCGCGGAAGGTTGCCGGGTAAAAATAAATTATTGCATAAATTTTCTGCTGCTAAGTAAGCTTTACCGAGTAAAATCCCCATGCAATTGTCATTGCTGCCTCCCTTCAATGACGATAGCAACCGATTAGTCATTCTTAACATATCTATGGGAGGGATTTTTTTGGTATGAACATTTCAGATTTAACATTTGGATGCCAATTAGCTATAAACTTAGCGTTAAAACTATTAATCAACTTGTTTGCTTTTTTGTCTTCTCTTTTGTGGCCAACGGGTCTCAGGATTCATTACTAAAGCAATTTACCAATTCAGCTCGGGATTAAAGTTTGCTAATTTAATTAAGATCGCGCTTGAGTTTAATTTTGAAACAATAATTTACAAAAGTCGAGGTGGATAATTGTTTTAATATATATCAAACAGATACAAAAAAAGTAGTCTGATTCTTTCATTATACCAAATAATGGTAGGAAAACGAACTCTTGACTCGCGCTTTTGCATCATCGACTGCTCGAAGATGAATAGTACTTGCTATTGACATTCGAAATAGCTAATTAACGCACACGAAAACTGCTAATCCCTTGTGTGCTATGCGCTAAAGCACAGTATAATGTTCAATTCTTTCGCTAAATTGATTCCTTTTCTTTTTGTTAAAGGTAAGCCAAGACTCGAACACCACCCATCTGAAATGTCTCTGCAATCATTTAACATCTTTTGGTGGAAACTTCATCCAAGCACCAAACCCAATTGACTTCGACAAAGTTTTTACTGAGTTTTCAAACCTTGCTGAAAGTGGCAATATTTCAGTACTTGTGACAATTGCCTGTTTTTTCCTTCTGTATCTCGTTATCTTAATCTTTGCAAGGAGGGCCGACAAGAGAGATGCAGACAAGGTAATCATATCTTAACCTGCAAGACGTGTAATTTGAATTATTTTGATCTCTGAATGTTGTTGTTGTTGTTGTTTTTTTTTTAGATTTGCCCACCTAAATTGATACCGCTTGTGAAAGAAGGAGCCTATTATTACGATATGGTTATAAGCACCGGCGTTTGGAAACATTCAGCAACAACAGCTAACATAACCATCAGTATAAAGGGCGAAAATTATGAGCAGAATCAAATTCCATTGAGGGATAAAGGGGAGAGGAGCGAGCTTTTTGGACGTGGGAGTATCAACGGCTTTGTGCTCGTGTTGAAAGAATCCATCGGCCCTTTAAAAGAAATTACTTTGGATCACGATAATTCGGGTGATAATCCATCTTGGTTTGTAGAAACCGTAGTTATCCAAGACCGCCAGACCGAAGAAAGGTGGGTTTTCCCTATAAATAGATGGCTTGCGTTGGAAAAAGACGACGGCCAAATAGAGGTTACTGTGGACAGCAAATGTTACTCTGCCTTCTCCGCTCAGGTTCGTTCGCGCTTTGCCAGAAAAATTGCCGACAGTCACTTGTGGATGTCAGTGTTTGGAAAAGCATGTAGCAGTACCTTCACACGTGTGCAAAGAGCTTCATGTTGCCTTTCAGTTCTGTTTAGTGCAATGATAGCAAATGCCATGTTCTATAACATTGGTGGTGAATCCGATGGTGCGATACAAGTTGGGCCTTTTAAGTTTTCTTGGAAACAGATAGTCATCGGAGTACAAAGTGGCATTATCATTGCACCAATAAACATAATAATTGCCTTCCTGTTTAAGTCTAGCAGACGGAAGAAGAAAAGGAGTGAAAAATACCAAGTAACAGACGAGGCCCAACGACTTTTGGATGAAATAACGGACACCGGTTGTTTGCTTCCCAATTTTTTTGTTTATATGGGCTGGTTTCTTTGCTTCTGTACGACAATGGCAGCAGCAACATTTACGCTGTTTTACAGTCTAATGTGGGGAAAGGAAACCTCTGAGCAGTGGCTTGCTTCTATTCTAATTTCCAATGGACAAGATATTTTCGTTGTGCAGCCCACGAAGGTTATGTTAGCCGTCATCGTCATTTCCTTTCTCCTGACAAGAAAGAACAAAGGCAAATGCGAAGAAGAAGAAGAGACTGCTACCGATCCACGCGCAATTGAGATAGATTTTTCCTGCGATGATCCCAAACAGCGCTTTAAGAAATATCAGCGGGAAAAGATGAGGGAGAGATCTAAAAAAGAAGCGCAGTTGACAAGTATGACAAGAGACATTATTCTGCATTTAATATTTGTGTTTCTTCTGGCCATCGTATCTTATGGAAACAAGAACGGAAATCGTTTTCTGATGACCACCGAGACGAGAAATCGATTCAATAAGTTTAATCTGGTAAGATTATGTTTCTCGATGAATAAAAATGATTTTTGTCCGCAGTTGTAAAATATTTGACAGTATTCAAAAGCTATTTCGCCTGCCAATCGATCCTTATATCAGTGAAAGATTACAGACTGGTGGATGTTTAAAAGAGAAATAGGTATTAAAGTCCGTCGCAATACCACAACTAGCGATAGCAAGTGAGCAGGCTAATTTATGCAGGTTTCTGGTGAATATAAATAATGACTTTTACCTTTGCAAAAAGGTAATAGCGATGTTACTATGGATTTCATATTTAAGTTTGCTTTTGAGTGAGATAGGCGTTTGAATTTTTTTATTTATTCATTTGTTATTCATTGTTTGCTATTTGCATTAAAGATTGGCGGCGAGTCTCTTTCCCCCTCTCGCTTTGTTCCTGTCTTTTGATTTATTCCTTTACCTTTCCTTGTTCGTTTGTTTAATAATCATGCCATCATGCGAGTTACACATTCTATCTTCTTGACGGGTCCTTGGATCTTAAGTTCTTATTCTTTATTCTAGGTAAAGGATGCGCACATATTAGAGGCATGGTTAAGGAACGAATTCATATTAAACATTTATAATCAGGCGTGGTACAACGGACTTGAAGAGGAAAACGATGTGTATATCGGGAACAAGATGTCGGTATTAGTGGGAATGCCCTGGTTGCGACAGCTCAGAATTAAAAAAAGTAAACTTAGATCAGAATATATCATTTTCTTAAACAAACAGGTTATCACAAAGACAATTTCTACAGTGACGATAGACAATGGAGATTCTAAATTGGTGGGAAAAATATCCCTAATATACAATTGCAAAATGCTTGTTGAAATAGGAAAATGTCATAGTGACTTAATTAATTCGAATAACTATAAGTGCATGTCTAGTGATCTGGAAATCAAAAGGCTCGTAACTTACACACTAAATTATGCTACTACAGGCTCTAGAAAATAAGGCATAGGCATATAAGAACATGTACTTGTTTGCTGATACATTTCAACTCGCTACTCATGACTTGACTCAAAAGCATTTTTAGAACCACAGATTTTTAACCCGATATCAAGAAACTTCATTGGCGTGTTTTTTTTTTCTTCTGCCAGCATTTTTCTCCTTCTCTCTTTCTTTTTATCATCATTTATCAAAAATGCAAATCTTAAAGTAATTTATTCCAATTTTTTTTTATTTGAAGAATCCTGCAGATCACTCTCTAAAATGATAGCAGATTGTTATTACGACTATTCTCCAGAAAATGAGGACACGACTTTGCTAAGCCTTCCAGGTTGGATACCTCTATCCCTCAATACCTCGTGGCCCAATGCTCTCCAAATTTGCCCTAAGCCTTGGCGGTATCAATCAGCAGCAGAACTTCGCAACGATCCCATTCTAGCGTCTTACAACTCTTATGAAGGGGGTGGTTATGCAGCAGTCATGGGATACGATGAAAGCACTGCACAAGGCGTCCTCGACGAGACTATTACTAATGGATGGCTTGATCGCCAAACTCGAGCTGTAATTCTAGAGTTTGCTGTTTTCAATGTCAATACAAACTTGATTAGCGTTGCCACATACTTTTACGAGGCCTTAGCTACTGGTGCAGCCTACACTTCAAGGAGAATTGAAACACTGGAGTTGTACAGCACTGAGTCAGGAGCTCTGATGTTTTTCTTAATTGGCCAGTTTCTGTTCATGGCAATGGTCCTGTTTTATTTCATAGTTATGTTAGTTCACCTTTATCAACAACGCTTAGGTTTCTTCAAGTCTGTTTGGAACATGGTGGATTTCTTTATGATTATTTTCTCTGTAGCCTCTGTAGCATTTTACATGATCAGAGCTAAAAGCGTTTTGAACACTATCAAATCTATTCAAGCCAATCCATATGAAATCGTGCATTTCCACACAGCCTTAAATTGGCTTAACCTAGAAAATGCGTCTATTGCTATGGCTGTTTTTATGGTGACAGTCAAGCTACTGAATCTAATTCGTTTTAACCCACACGTAATATACTTGTTTTCATCTTTTCGGCAATCTATAGGCTATCAACTCTCGTATGTGCTCTTTTTTCTGATCGTGTTCAATGCATTTGTTGTAACAGGTATGCAGTTTTTTGGTGGTGTAGTATTAGAGTATTCTAGTTACCTCAACGCAGTCATGTCTCAATTCGAATTCCTGTTAGGAAAAGCAGTCCCAATGGACGCTCTTCGAAGGGACAAACCCTTCATTGGTCCGACGTTTGCGTTTTTGTTTTGTATATCCACAACTATATTTCTTATGAATATGCTTGTTTCTGTCCTCAACGAATCATACGGTGACGCAAAAACAAACGCAGAGGAAAATGCAAAAGAGCTTGAAATGGCACGTTTTATTGAGGAGCGTTTAATGGACATTTTCCACGAGGGAAGTAATCGGACTGAGTTTAAGTTGTTTTGCGATGAGACAACATTCGCCAACATGTGCCTTTCTGAAGCAGAGCCATTCTGTTTAAATTCTGAAAGTATTATCCAATGTACAGAGGAACGAATGCTAAAAGTTGAAAAAAGACTAACTGTTCTCACTCGGCGAACAGAATACATGGAGGCTGATTATTTGAAAGAGGAAAATGACTTAATTGACCTCTTGTTATTAATGATAAATCCTTTGGTGCGTGATTCGGAAAAAAAAGCAAAAGATCGTCCCTAAATGCAGAGATGTCTTATTTTATAAGTTAGCCTAGTTTTCTTTTCTTGAAAGCGTGGATATTATTAAATGTTTTTCTTTTAGGTAATTGTATCTTATAAGTAAGGCTTGAGGGAATATTTCCAACACAAAAATTATCAAAATAATATACGAGGTTTCGTCATCGTCAGATGTCATTGTCAATTAGATGTGTAGCTTAGTTTTTGCATCATAAAAGGATCTACAGTTATGCGCACAGGATGGAAAAGTACTTTAAGTGACAAAACATGTGACTATTAGGAAAACATGTTCATTAAACAAACAGTTTTTCTCTGATTGAGTATTGACTACTAGCTTAAGATGTCCGGTATATGGCCTTTCATATGTCAGGCAGTCAAGTTTTCTCCTGTATAGGGTTGAGATGGTAAAATGGTCTTTGAGGTTCATTTGCTCCATATTGCGTTCCCTCTTGATGTGGTTTCCGATTCCGGTTGAGCTTTGAAGTTCGATCGGTATCACGTTGATACCGGCTTAAAGGCGGGTGATGCCTGTCTTCAAGCAAAATACCCAACCACCAGGTTTTCGCAAAGTCAACTGCGCCCTTTCCCCCATAGTCATGTTTTGACACTCAACTACCCTCCAGCTATAGAGTGTTAGGCCAGTGGCTGAGGTGTGGCACAACCCTATGAACCACGGTTATTAAGACAAGCCCCAATTAGCCACAGAGAAAAAAGGCCAGTTGAAGATCGCATCATTAAGAAATTTGTCCACTCCACTTGCTACAGCAAAATGGTAATCCCATTTATAAACACTTTTCTCATGAAGGTAACTTAAAGGTCGTGCGTTGACTAATAAATATCGATTTCTCTCTTACCGATTGGAGCATCAAACGAGAGGTGTTTTGTTTTTACTGTAACTACAGTCGGTGTGAAAATTGTTCACTCGTTGGCCTTTTTAACCCTCTATTACTTCAATGTTAATTTTAAGTTAAAGTATTCACCCCACAAACCCCCCTCTCTTCCCCCCCCCCCACCCCATAAAAACATAGCAAAACAAAACAAAACTTTTTGTGATTCCATGAACCTTTAGCTCCCTACAGGCAACATTGAATGGTGGAGGGGTGTTGTCGAGGATTTAGTAGAAACAGGAGTGTTATCCACACATAAATAATGTTAATATAGGTTTCGCCAAGACTGTAATAAAACTCTTCAGCAATGGCTATAGAAGAGTTTCGTCGAGGGGATTTAGGGACCGGTTCGGGGTATGGGGAGGGGGTTGGGGAAATAGACTCATCCTCTTTAACTTTTGAGGTCTTAAGGAACAGAGAAATTTATATGGTAAACAGTTACAAATAATACAAAATTTAAATTTTGAAAACTAGAAGATGCACATTATAATCATCAAAGCCTATGCATCCTAGCAAAAAGAGGATCAATTACCACCATAACTTCTCCCAAACATTCTCGCCCACAGGAAATCATTAATTTTTGTCACTACTTGATACTGTATTTACAATAGTTATACCAACAGAAATGCATCCACACTACCTTGAGTGATCCCAAACTCACGAGTAAAATGGAGTTAGCTGAGTTAAAATCAAATTACTGCGTCAGACTTAACGTAAACATAAACATCGCTGATTCAATCTAATTTTATTTAAATTTTGGGAAAGGCCACTACTTTGTTACGTTAAAACAATTCATCTTCGATAAAGCGCGATTTTGATAAGGAAAGCCCCGCGATAGTTAACTGAAGAGAGAATGATAGAAACTTGCTGACGCCGTACGGTATAATTTAAAAACTTTCTAGGCAAAACATACTCCGTAAGATAACTTTTTTTTCCTTAACACCACGTCTGTATTAAAGATTCCAAACGATAGGACAAGAAATAGCTTCAGGAGTACGAACAATATGAAATGTTATTCGAGCGATGAACCGGCGTTAGGGCTTAAAGCGATGTATGCGAAAGTCATTGTTTTACCGAAACGTGATATAAAAAAAAAAAAAAAAAAAAAAAAAAAGGTTTGAATTTTTCTAGACCTTTGCGTTAGAGAAAACTAGATAAGACAAGACTTACTTCTCTTCCTTTCTCGGATCCTTTGTAGTTCGCTTCTCTTTGTTGATGACCTCTTTTCAGTCTGTCTTCTAGAGCCCTTTGCATTTCCTTCTCACGTTGCTCTTCGCTAAATATTTTCCTTTTTACTCGTGCCTTTTCTTATTCTCTTTCGGGCTCTTCTCGCTGTATTCTGCCCATTTTAGAGTCTTTTACTACTTTCTTACGCGTTTTTCTCGACTCACTTTATGCCTTTCACTGCTTGCTTTCTTCGGTCGCTCAGTTTCTTTCTTTCCAGCCTAGTTTCACTTAAAAACCCTTTCTAGACAGAACTTGAATTGTAAAAATTTACTTTGGTTGATAAACCTTTAGCTCTGCCAGTATTGTTGTTTTGCGAGTTGACTAAAAATTGCAAAATTCTGAGATGTACTGTTCAACTACCAGTTTGATTTCCCGCCCAAAACGCGGGTTGCAAAATTATTTGCTTACGCGGCTTTACATCTATCACCCACGTGTGGCCCTCGCGGTGTCTACTGGCGCACTCTAATGGGGTATCCAAGTTATTCAGGCAATGGCGACTGCGCATTATATTTTTCTTCGCCCTTCAATTCCGTAATGACTGAGATAGTGCCCGCAATGTAGTGGGCAACGAATGAGGGTTTTAGCGGGCAGTGACTTTCTCAAACCTGTTTGACGGGTTCTCGAATAAAAATGTTGTTAAGATCAAATTACCGCTTCAAAGTTACTGTAAACATGAATATCGCTTACTCAATCTCATTTTACTTTAATTTTGGGAAAGGCTCCTTCTTCGTCATTAGGGTAAAACAACACATCTTCGACAAAGCTAAGTTTTTTAAATGGGAAAAGTAAACCCTGCGACAGACAGTCAATTGAAGATAGTATGATAGAAACTTGCTCACGTCGTTAGCTATCATTTGAAAACTTTCTAGGCAAAACATACTCCCTAAACATTTCAAAGATAAGAAAAGAAATAATTTAAAGGATACGAACACTTTGAAATGTTATTCAAAGCGATAAACTGGCGCGAAAGTTTTAAAGCGATGAATGCCAAAGTCATCGTTTTACCGAAACGTGATCTGAACTACAAACTGAAGCAAGTATCAAACGACGATTGTTAAAAAGAGGTTTGAGTTTTTCTGGGCCTTGGCGTAAGAGAAAAACCTAGATAAAACACGACTTACCTCACCTCTTTTCTCAGATTCTTTGTAGTTAGCTTCTCTTTGTTGATGACCTCTTTTACGTCTGTTTTCTAGAGCCCTTTGCATTTCCTTCGCACGTTGCTCTTCACTAAATATTTGCCTTTTTACTTATGCCTTTCCTTCTTCTCTTTCGCGTTCTTCTCGCCGTATTCTGCCTATTTTAGCATCCTTTCTAACTTTCTTGCGCATTTTTCTCGACTTGCTTTTCGCCTTTTACGTCTTGCTTTCTTTGGTCGCTCTGTCTCCTTCTTTCCAGCCTATTTTCCCTCAAAACCCTTTCTCCACAAACTTGAATTATAACAATTTACTTCGGTTGACAAAGTTTTAGCTCTGTCGGTATTGTTGCTTTGCGAGTTGATTAGAAATTGCAAACTACTGAGAATTATTGTTCAACTACAACCTCACCAATTTGTTTTCCCACTCAAAACATGGGTTACATTTTATTTGCTTACGCGGCTTCACATCTACTGGCTCACGTGAAGCCCTCGTGTGATGCCTAACTGTGTGCCCGCGGTACGCTGCGCTTAAGCTCGGCACTCGGCAATGCGCACTTCATCGTCAACCGCCGGTGTCTACCGGCGCACACTAATGGGGTGCCCAAGTTACGCTGCGCATTACCTTCTCCTTCGCCCTTCCACTTCAAAATGGCTAAGATAGTGCCCCTATTGCAGTTAGCCGCGCATACTGAAAGTAGCACCTTGTACGGTCGGTAGAACGGTCGTAAGTCCAATTTTTTTCGGCTTCATGGGTTACTACTATTTCGTCTAATTTGTCTAATTTGTCTTTTAACTATTATATCGGAGCTGCGAGCTCCGATATAATAGTTAAAAGAGAAGATTCTCTGGGTTAGTCTCATTCGTAGGGAACGAATTGCTTACAGAAAACTGTATCGACTGAAAACTGTCTTAATGAACCCCCGCCTTTATCATCGTCAGAATATCTAAAACAACTGTGTCTAGGAAAGCCTATGTATTCATAATTTAATAACCTCTACAGTAACTATGTAATCATAGCCTAGGTAGTTCAGCAAAATAATATTACAGTTGGGGGTTCTCGTTCATATTCACAAAGGCGCAAAATGAGTACAATATTTATTCTGCGAGCAAAATCAGTAGTCAAGTAAACAGTTCCCCAAAAAGAAACCTATCGAACGAATAAATAACGAAAAGCTTCTGAAGTTCGGGATAGCTGTAGGATACCTAACCGCTCTAATATGTGTGATCGTATTCATAAGCATCCTGTAACAGGCTCTCAGTCAGCCAAGACAATCAAAAAGTGGGTAAACCAAGGTTAGCTTGGTTTGTCAAGGAAATCGCTAAGCGTCGCTCACCCGCTATTTCACTTTTTTTCCATAACCAATGGCCTGAAACAGGTTACTCTAACTAATTAAAAAAATTAAAAATACATGAGGAGATAATGAAAGAGATGTGTTAAGAAATCATTTTTTTTAATAACAACCCTGGGACAAAAGAAAAAATTACGTTTCTTGCTACCTTCAATCTAAAAAATTATTCGTATTTCTATTTGTCTATCTTACCATCATATAGATGATATTACTTTCATTCCGTCGAACGAATATTTAAGGCAAGAAACATGGCTGCAGCAAGGTAGGAAAATTACTCAATTTCACTTAATTTACTCAATTTTTACTTCAATAACTTGATTGATATTTCTCGAATATGAACTTCCATGGCTAGAGCGAAACCTGAGTAAAAATTAATGTGTATTTTTTCACTGAAATCTCAGCGGGGAAATTTTTCCTGTCCGTAAACAATTATAATGAAGAGGGTTGTGCATCGAAA